AGTAAGACGCTAGGCGCCGCCCTCCCGGCTGACGGTGAACTGACGCTTGAATGGCTGATAACCGCGTTCAGAAACCACTGCAATCCAGCACCAAACGAAACAGTAGAAAGATACAAATTTTTCTCCAGAAATCAAAACTCAGGCGAAATGATTGATAAGTATATTACTGATTTGAAAGTGCTAGCGGACACATGCAACTTTGGATCAGCTAAAGATTCTCTGATTAGAGACCGAATTGTCTGCGGCATACTGAACTCACATGTGAGAGAACGTCTATTAAGAGAGCCTGAACTGACGCTTGAGAAATGCGTAAGGATTTGTAGAGCATCAGAACTGTCAAAAGAGAATGTAATGACCATAGAAGGACAGAAAGCTGAAGAAGTGCACACAGTACAGAGAATTAAACAAAATCAGGGTGCAAAACAAACTCATACAAAGTGTAAATTTTGTGGAAAACAGCATGAGTGGAAAAAACTGAGTTGCCCAGCTTATGGAAAGCAATGCAAAAAATGTGGCAAATTAAACCATTTTGCTGCCACGTGTAAAACAAAAGAAACTAAGAGAAAAGGAATACACAGTGTGGCAGAAATTGAAGAGGAACCATTTCAGGAAATCCTAAGCCTTAGTTCGCAAATGAGAGAGGACACACAGGAAAAACAACTGTTTGCAACCATGTTGATAGGAGAACGACCAGTAAAATTTCAATTAGACTGTGGAGCCAGTTGTAACGTAATCCCCATTCAGCAGTTAAACCCTGACACCGTGATGGAAAAGACTGAACAAATCCTGGTCATGTATATTAAGAGCACCCTGAAACCAGTAGGAAAATGCAAAATAAAAATAAGAAACCCGAGAAATAGAAAACTGTACCGGATGGAGTTTATTGTTGTGGAGGACACCTCATCAGTGCCCCTACTGGGAAACAAGGCAGTACAGGCAATGGATCTGGTAAGAATACAGCATGAAAATATTATGGCAATTGATGATATTGTTACCACAGAAAGATGCAGAGGAAAAGAACCATGGGACAAAAGTGACATACATAGGGAGTATGCTGACGTATTTGAAGGAGATGGATGCCTGGAAGGAGAATATAACCTAGAAGTGGATCCTGCAGTGAAATCAGTAAGGCTTCCAAAGCGAAGAGTTCCTGTGGCACTATTGAAACACCTAAAAGATGAGCTGGGGAGCCTGGTAGAGAGAGGCATTATAGCTCAGGTGGAAAAGAGCACAGAGTGGATTAGCAGCATGGTGGTGGTGAAAAAAACCGTCTGGAAAACTCAGAATTTGTATTGACCCAAGACCACTAAACAAAGCATTGAGACGTCAACATTTTCCCTTACCCACCATAGATGATGTTCTCCCCGATCTGACCAAAGCGAGAGTCTTTACAGTGTGTGACGTGAAAGATGGGTTCTGGCACATAAGGCTTTCAGAAGAGTCAAGCTACCTCACTACCTTTGCAACGCCATGTGGCAGGTACAGATGGATTAGAATGCCTATGGGAATCAGCCCGGCTCCAGAAGTGTTCCAGCACAGGTTGACTCAGGCATTAGAGGGGCTTCCAGGAATACGGATAATAGCGGATGACATCCTTATCTGTGGTGAAGGTGACAATGATGAGGCAGCTGAGAAAGATCATGACACAAAGCTAAGACAACTCCTGGATCGTTGTAGAGACAGAAACATTAAACTAAATTTCAACAAACTCAAGCTAAGACAGAAAGAGGTGCCATATATTGGACACAGACTGACATCTGAGGGACTAAAGATTGACCCAGAGAAGGTGAGAGCTATATTGGAGATGCCCAGGCCATCTGATGTGAAGGGACTCCAGAGATTATTAGGTATGGTGAACTATTTGTCTAAATTTTGTGCACATTTATCAGACAGCTGTGACACATTGAGACAACTGACACACAAAGATGTGATTTGGGAGTGGACTGATGTACAGGAAGATGCATTCAACAAACTGAAACAAATGATTGCCTCAGCACCTGTTTTGAAGTACTACAATCCAGAGGACGACCTAGTGTTGCAATGTGACTCCTCTGAGACAGGACTGGGCGCAGCACTTTTGCAGGCAGGACAACCAGTCGCTTATAGCAGCAGAGCCCTCACAGCCACAGAAAAAGGGTATGCACAAATAGAAAAAGAATGCCTAGCAATTCTTTTTGGAATGGAGAAATTTCACCAGTACACATATGGCAGGAAAGTAGAAGTACACTCAGACCTCAAACCCCTAGAAACCATAGTAAAAAAGCCATTGCTTAATGCGCCCAAAAGATTACAGAGAATGCTTTTGAGACTGCAACGATATGACATTAACGTTGTCTATGTGCCAGGTCGACTGATGCACTTAGCAGATACTCTCAGCAGAGCATACCTACCAGAATGTGCTGCAGAAGGATCAGTAGAGACAGAAATTGAGACAATCAACATGTTGCAGTACCTGCCCATATCAGAAGGGATTCTACAAAAGATACAGAGAGAAACAGCTAAGGATGAGAAATTTCAGATGTTGCAGCAAGTGATAGCTCAGGGATGGCCAGAGGAGAAAACTCAGCTGAAAGAAGAGGTGAGACAATTCTTTTCTATAAGAGAAGAGCTTAGTGAGCAAGGTGGAGTGATTTTTAGAGGAGAGAGAGCTCTAATACCAGCAAAGCTGAGAACAGAGATCATGGAGAGAATACATGCATCACATCTAGGCATAGAAAGCTGTTTACGAAGAGCAAGAGACTGTGTATACTGGCCTGGAATGAGTGCCGCTATGAGAGAATACATAGGGAAATGTGCTGTTTGCAGAACTGTAGATGCGCGACAGCAGAAAGAGACAATGTGCGCACATGACATTCCGATAAGGCCTTGGGCAAAAGTAGGCACAGATTTATTTTCATTCAACAACAGAGCGTATCTCATCACAGTTGACTATTTTTCTAACTTCTGGGAAATTGATTATCTTACTGATACCAGCTCAAGCACAGTGATACACAAACTAAAGGCCCATTTTGCACGACACGGGATCCCAGACACACAAATACTATTGCCACAATTACAAAAGGAAAACGGACTATTTCATTAATCACATATTGGACAAATTAAAAATATTTTAATCCTGATTTCATTAGTATCATGTGATCTTTGCAGTTATAGCAGGTCGAATGTTTGGCTTTTTTTTTTTTTTTACAGTTTTACAGTTGTAAAACTGTAAATTGTTACTGTCAATTCAGTTCCAATTTAGTAACCCTAAACATTATTAAAATTGTCCATGACAGAAACTTTATTCTCTAAAATTAAAACATTTAATCATGTATGTTCGACAAAAGCTGAATTATAAAAAAATAAATATGTTTTCTATAAGATACTGGAAATTATTGCCATTTTTAAAGAGTTTTATTCCTTAACTTCTTTGAAATGTAAAATATTCATGCATTAGAAACATCCATGTTGCTTTCAATGCATATAATAATCTTTACAGTAACTGTAGTGTTGTCACTATGCTGGATATTATAACTTTGAGATGATACCTTCAAAAAATCTCAACATTTTATACCATTTTCTATATTTTGTGATTTTAAAAAATCTTAATGTTATTAATAATTATTATTTAATGCACCAGAGACATTATGGACATTAATATTTAATAATATTTAAAAAAAATTTTGAATAGCAGATTTTCTTTGCATATTAGCCTACTTGTTAGAGGTAGATAGCTAATACCTTACCATTTCTGGCCAATCAAAAACATTTTTTTTCTGAGTTTATGTCGCATGTTATATGCGAAATAAACTCAGAAAAAAATGTTTTTGATTGATAAAAAGAAAAAAAGAGAAAAAAAGGACAACATGTCAATTGACAGCACGTTACACAGCTTTCGTATTTAATTAATCGAAAAAAATTAATTGAAATGAGTTCAGTTACTAACCTCTCGATATTGTTTATACAGATGAGGGACACACAGCAGTGTGTGTCAAGAGAAGAGAGCGCGTTTTGAGAAAACAAAGCAAAAGCAAGATTATGTTTGGATATGGGTTGAAATATTGATGTTTTGGACACAAACTCCAACAAAGTGCTTTACACTCGTGTTTAAATTTTGACTGTTGCACTTTGCATGATTTTCACTACTGAAACTGCCTGTGTTTTTTCTGTTTCTGTGAGTTATTAACAGAATACTTAATTCAAGATTGTAAATCCCCTCTGCAATAAATCTATTGCAAGAAACAAATTTGAATACTTGTTTATTTTGAAAGAAAATGTCTTCGTAAGGAAGACATTAATTAAACTGCAAATCAAAAGATGGGTTTAAAACAGAGATGATTGTTGAAAAAGTCTTGGTATTTTTATAATTTTTGGCTATAATATCAGAAAAATATTTAGATTTAGACTCCCTCACTGCTCTTTGATGGTCGGTTAGCGAATCTCTGAAAATCTCAAATGAAATATGCAGCTAATCTTTCTTCCATTTACATTCGGCCCGTCTACAAACTCGCTTCATGTTTTAGTGATTTCATTTAGCCATGGTTCCACTTTAGCTTTGACCTTCTTCCTACGTAAAGGTGCAATATTATCTAAAACTTTGGAAATGTTAAGGTTTTGAATCATGAAACCATATGACAGAACAAGATCCAAGGTATGACCAAATTAATGTGTAGGACCTGTAACCGTTTGGGATATCTCGTAGGTGACAATAAGACTTAAAAACTCCTTAGTGAGGGGGTTTGCATCACAACAAACATGAACATTAAAATATTATATTCCACCATTAGAAGCTTATCAAATTGAGAAACAAGTCTGCCAAGAAAGTCATACAATTCAATGAATAAATTATTTTTTTTAAACTTAGGAGGACGATATATAACCACAATCAAGAAGTTATTGTCACTTTTTAGACAAAATAGCAAGACCTCAAAGCTTGTAAAAGTCTCTGTCTTTAACAATCGAGTAGTGAAGTGTCTTTTTAGAAATTCATTTAAATAAAATAAATGAAACTTTTTTTTTACCCATGTCGTGAAGCTCTTTATCATGTCTCTCTAAGATGTCTGATATAGCTTTATTGTGGGCTTCTTGTTGGTTGTCTTTCTCTTTTTTCAGTACCTGCAATAAAAAATAAAATTATTACAAAATAATTTCTCTATTGAAATAGGAATGTTTTTCATTATGGGTTTCTTTAAACTCACCTCCTTCTCGGCATTTAGTGAAATTATCTGTTGCATACACTTTTCAGATAGCTCATTGATCTTCTTATTGTATTCAGTATCTTTCAAGCTTAGCTGGCACTTGTTGTCTTCCTGGAGCTCTTCTACTTTTGCATTCAGTTCAAGCAGCATTTTACTCTGTTCAAAATGATATGAGAAAAGGCTGTAATTATGCAACAGGGTAAAATAGAATCTTATATTTCACTTTTTTTTTTTTTTTTTTTGATTATTTAACAATTTTTGGGATCAATAGGGGTGTTTCAACTTTCTCCTGCAAAATCACATTTCCATTCCAACCAGAGTAGTACCAGATGCTGAGAGGGAGTAGGTAAATGAACTCCAACCAAATATCTCTATTTATGTAATACAAAGTAATTTCAAAAATAATGCAAAAAAAAAAAAAAAAAAAAAAAAAGCTTGGTGATGTAGTTTGACTGAGCTGTCAAATTTTGTAAGTTTTAATATCTGCTAAAATGGAAAATGTAAAACATAAACTGCATCTTGGAAATGAGATGAAGCTTTGAAGGTGAATGTGACCTTGACTAGGGGTCAAACAACAAAAAAATATGGTAAAATATCTTTTTGTGATCCTGGAGTCAGATTTGATTTTCAGTAGTCATATCAAAGCAGCAAATAAATCCGGATACTACTATTTAAAAAAAAACATTGCAAGAATGAGATGCTTTGTTCCCCTTGAGAACCTAAGCCCCATTTATACTGATGCGTTTTGTTTTAAAATTTCATTTTATAATGAAAACAATCCACATTCACAGAGGTGTTTCATTCACCGTTTCTGAAAGATCCCGTCCCCACTACACCGCTGGAAACGCACATTACGCATCAGACAGTTCATTTAGTATCTACCACTGGATCTCATCTCACTATATTTGTTAAATGTGATTTTAAAATTTATATCTATTTCTATCTAATGACTCTTTGTTCTTTTGAATATAACTTATTCTCAGATAAGTATTCAAAGATAAGTTAATTTATGTAACCACGTACACTGATTCTGGACTTTTGACTTATTGCTTAACTTTCCTATTTTGTAAATTTATTGTACTTTATACTTTTAGAATGGCAATTATTTGATAATTAAAGCTGATATTTAGCAAAAGAGACAATGAAAGGAGGCAGTTATGTTATAGGCTCTAAATATGCATGTGAAGATGAAAGTCATATAAATATGTAGCTACATGATGTCTTAAGATTTTTGGTGTCTGTTAATATCAAAATGAAAATAGGTATCCTTATTTCATTGTTTCATGTTATTGTTAATATAGTAAAACAAATGTGAATGACATTATAAAGTATACTGTTCCCTTTGAAGATTTACTCGACGTGTCCTTGGGAGTTTGTTTTTCATATCAAACTTGTGATGCAAGACGGAACTTTGACACTTGATATTTTGAGAAAAAGCTCCAATTTTCAGATGTCTCAGTTTTCCCCCATCCACACTGGCACAGAGCAGCAGCGTTTGAAAATCAAAATAACCTCTTCACCATATTCACAATGCTCCATTTTTGGGGCTCTAAAACTCTGGGGTAGTGTGGAAAGAAGGTGTAACCATAGCAAAAGTTATGTGTTTTAAAACTAAAACATAATGGTGTAGGCAGGGCCTTAGTTCATGCTTTTATCGCCAGTAGGGTGTGTAAAAGTCAATCTATTAGCCCAACGACAAAACTAACAGCATGGTCAAAGGTTAAATGCCTGTAGGGCTTCTGAAAATAATTCTGTTATTTATTAGAATTTGTTTATATTTTTTTTCAACTCCGAACTTAATCTGACTCCAATTTTAAGTGACCATCAAATTTAGACTATTTTTAAATTTTAAAAACGAATCACATCCATCGTTTACGACTCAATTTATAGTATTTGATTTATATCTGATCCTATACTCTTTAATTATATGTTCATTAGGGATCAAAAGCCACTTAAGAGTTCCAGATCCCGGGTTTGCGTTTCTTCTCACAGACACATCTCAACATTCTGAAGTTAGTCAGAGGATGTATGGTTAGGTAATACCAATTAGTCTAGTTGCCTCCTTCTCACTCATACTAAAATAGTAGTTAATTTTGTATTTCCCATCAAACTTAATAATATCAGTGATTAAATTATTAAAAAAATTATCATGATGATATCTTCATGATTCTTGCTTTCTGCTCCCTAAAAATATGTAAACTTACGCCACAACATAGAGGTAGCACAGACTACACATAATCTACTGGATATAAAAGATTTCAGGAGAATTCAGAATAATCAAAACTTAACCCGTTATTTTCTAAATGAACGAGTATCATTCCAGTAACAGAATTAAACAATAAAAAGCCAATGCAGAACATGAATTACCCAAATATAAATTCAACAGCTAAAGATGAATGCAACATTTAAGTATTGATGCTGTTGGAGAATTCATTGTATCTTGTTGAATTTCTGAGGAATGTTTTACTCTTATTTAAATGCTTATTTGGCAGATTTGTAGCGTACAGTCCGAAGGTAAAATTACTTATTGATTTTAGTATTTGATATTTACTATTTGATTTGAGTATTTCGCATGGGTTTTACGACTCCTGGCCCCAAGAAGTCTGGATTTTCGTGAGAGCTTAAGTTGTTCAGGGGGACTGGAGAGATAAGAAGGGTCTGTTGCTTCAAAGACATTCCTGCCCAAATACACACACACACACACACACACACACACACCCACGAGGCTGTTCCGACAGAAAGAAAATGAACTCATCAAATCCTGAACCAGCACAAAACCAATGTGTTATGTTTTGTAAACTTTGTATCTCATTTCTGACTTTTCTTACCTGTGTAACCTCTCTTATAACCTGTATGCATGTTCCCTTTAGGCCTTTGTAAAGCATAAATATTGTAAGGATATGAAAAATTATGTTGATGTACTTTAAACCCCCCATGTTTGGTACCGATGGGTTTCTGCTGACATCTTACAACACATGATGCATAGAGCACGACCATAACTTGCATTGCTTTATTCATTAAAGCCCTGTATTAAATGCCTGTCCGCATGCTTTAGGCGGACACTCAAATTTGCATATGAGCAGCCTCGAGACAAAGGAAGGGTTCCCGCTCGAACTTTGTACTGAAACCATTGGTCAGAATGCTGAACGGGTTGTCACGTGACCCGCAGGTATAACCAGACCTTTTGCCAAACATCTGGGCAGAAAGAAAAGCATCCGAACAAAGAACATCAAAGAGGTGGCCTTCGGGCCACGCGGTTTTCCGACGCCGCATGGACTTTCCCGCCACGTTTTCTTTATTTTCCGGCAAAAGTAAACTCAGTTTAAAGTTTGCGATCATGTTCGTCAGAACTGCATTACAAACACCATGCATCAAGAAGGACATCAAAAGGAGTTTTCATCACGACGGAAGAGAGACGCATAAGAGAGACCTCCAGACATGAACGACCAGGTGATTTTAGTTATGCGAATAAGCTGTGCCCCTTTTATCAAAAAGGTGTTTTTTATAGTCTCGGTGTTCCTTAATGGTGCGTGTGGAACTGAAAGTTTTGTCACTCTTTTACCTGAAATCTCTATTTCCTCGCTTTACTATTTCTCTTTGTTGTTACACGTTCTATAGACCCGATATCTCCACGTGGTTTACCTTTTGTTCTGTGTTTAATGTATGTTAGTGCGTTTGTTTGTTCGTTACGTCTGACTAGTCAATAAATTCCATTATAATCAAATGAATTGTATTGTTTGCCTCACGAGAAAATGTCACTGAAATACAGATTCCCCTGCCTAGCTATTATAAGTTGTTTAAAACTTTCGAATGATTAATCTACTTCACAAGAAGTAGCAATTAAATTCCCTTTTTCTAAATGAATAGATTACCGTGTCCGTTAAGAAGAGCGGCGGCTCTGCTTGTGTTTGTTTGGTCAAATTAACAATAAATTGATCCGGAATATTAATGATTAATAATAATTTGTTATTGTTGATAATTAATATTCATAATCTGGGAATCCGCTCGGTCACGCGAGCATGATCATATACAATCATATGTTTGAATGACCAAATTGACTGAAGCTTAAGCCGGAATATTAATAATTAAGAATAAACCGTTATTGTTGATTATTAATATTCATAAAATGAGCTAATTTCGTGTTATATAATTGGTGGAGACTATGCGAGCAGTGTTCAAACATTTTCTGTGAAACAAACTTTCCAATTCATTGTGATTTATGGAGCGCGCTATAGAAGAAAAAAAAAGGACCGCGAGAAGCATTTCCTTTTCTTCAAAGCTGGGAGGACGAAAAGCCTCCTCCAGCCATTCTGTTCACCTAAACAGCAGAGAGCTGCCCGTGTAGAATGTAACAATTTAAACTGCAGTTCATATATATTTTAAATCGATTTTGCTGAGACGCACGTTCCGCAAATCATTTAAATATATTAGTGTGCCTGTCGGAGGAAAAGACGCCTCTCTCAGCGCTTGTAAGACAGTTTGGAAACCCCAAACCTGTCCGTTTAAAAGGCCTTCTTATAGCTAGAAAACCTCTAGCCTATTTCTCCCGTGGTTTCAAACTGTTAGATTAGCTGCCTAACGTTTAACCTCTTTGCTTCGCCGCCGTGCGAAATTAATTTCAGAACTACTGGACGATTCTAAATTAATGTATTTGGGAGCTGCAAGCTTGCCTGTTAACCGCTTTCTGACGAAAGGAATTCTCAGAACCATAAGCGTGTTTTTAAATGGTACCAAAATCTGATATGGATGTGAATTCCCATATTTCAGTTATGTTCGTCCGGACCAAATCTGTGTACAAACGTGCACCGCCTCGAGAGACGTCTCGCATTTTATGTTTGTTTGTCTAATTGTAATGGTCGAATATTATTATCAATGTTACGGCAACATGATATAATGACCGTTTATGCGAATCTTAGTGGTTCGCGCTTTGCCTTTGGGAAGTCAGCCGCATACCAAGTTATGAATGAGAGCTTCTTCCATTCATAAATCGGCTCTTCGAGCGCTCATTGACTCCTCGTCCACGTAACTCGTGCGCGCACGCATGCGTGAATGATGTAGTCACCACAGCAAAGCATAAGATTCTCCTTTCAGGAGGCAGAGTTGGTGACGCGGTTTACATCACAGGGCAAAACAACTCGCTAGCTTCTAACGACTAG